GAATGTAGAGTGGTGTGTTTGGCTTGCGCTCTCAACTATGTGCTAATTCTGGATGATTATGCGGTAGAAAGCGCTAAGCTCGCCCGTAACATGATCGTCTATGCACATGCGCAATGTGGGAAAGCACCATCACGAGCCTGCTACGCGATTGTCAAAAACCCACCCCTTAAATTTCAATCAGCAATTTTTATCAGTAACTTTGAATCATAATGTTTGATGTGTAGATTTGATCAGTATTTTTGATTTGTAATTTTGATCGGCATTTTTCATCATAACTTTGACAAGAAATTTCGATCATTAATTTTGATCCCTACTTTTGATCAGTGATTTTGGTCAGTGATTCTTATCAGTATTTTTTCAATCTCCTTGATCAGTATTTTTGATCTGTAACTTTGAAAAGAAATTTCAATCACTAATTTTGATCCGTACTTTTGATCAGTGATTTTGATCAGTGATTTTTATCAGTATTTTTGATCTGTAACTTTGAAAAGAAATTTCAATCACTAATTTTGATCCATACTTTTGATCAGTGACTCTGACCAGTAGTTACGTTAGTCAAAAATTTGATCAATGATTTTGACATTTAAACTCAAATTTTGATATTCAAGGACAAAATTGCCTTTTCGAAGTTCTAGAGGGAACTTGAAAGGGCGGATCGCTAGTTCAGCTTGAAATGACCTTATAAGAAGGGTGCTTTGGATAAAACTACAGGCTCTTTAAATGTTTCTCAAAAAATAACAGCAAGTTTTTAAACTTTTTCCTGTCATTAGGGAAAGAGAAAATATATATGAGGTTCTTCACAGAAGGTTTTTGATAAAGTGTGTTTGTATCAATCATTAATCCTCATTCGAAAGTATATGCTGCCAATCAAATAAAGCTTATTCCATAATTCTTTACTTTGGTCGTCAAGCATTATTCTGTTTCCTTTAGGAGAAGTTAAAGGTTTAGTAAAGAGCCGGAGATTTTAAGGTTAAATAGAATATCTAAAGGATATTGAACTTGATATAGAAATCGCCTCTCATCCTTCCTACGCTTGAATGCATATATATGTATATGAAATGTTTTTTATTAAATCCACTAGATAATAAACCCTTTACTTTTTCTTTGAATATTCATCATATAATCCCATAAATTCTTATCTGTCATGGTGAAATTGGATCTTGAATATGCTTTTTAAACAGATACTAACAGTAGCAATGCAAAAAAAACTCTTTCAGAATCTATTAATCTAAAAAACTCTTTCAGCATTTATTAATCTTCCTTATCTAATAGATTTCTCTATGTACTGATTGTCATTTCCTGTTTTAGCTCTGTACCTCTCTTACCAAAATTCAATTCATTCTAACTCCAATAAGATCAATATTCTTAGTTTTAACTTGCTTTTCGGCCTCAGTTGTTTTGAACAATTCACAGTAAACAACTGACAAAAGCAGAATTTTCAAATTGAGCAGCAAACCAAAAGGCTTATTGATTGAGCTTAAGGCAATTTGGATGCTTAAAATTAATCTCAATATAAATTATAATGTACGTAAAATGTATTTCAATTATATTCTCGAACTGAATCAAGGAATTGAGAGGCCAAAATTATGAATTCCGTTATATGCAAATACTATGAGTTAAATTTAAGGGCTCCGACGCATGTGGGAGATAGGTTCATAGTTGAAATAAAAAACTCCATGTAGCTCCTTTGATTTGCTTAAAAGTGCGGAGACCACGGACTCCAATCGTCCCCTATATCCCTCGTTGTCATAGACTTTGAACATCAACGCACAAACAGTATCGCATTTTTGAAAATCATTGGTTATCGCAATTCGAGGCAATGGTGCTATTCTTTTGATTTTTTGAGCAATTCTTTAATTTTGTAATACAAAAGATATTTATCAGCTTCTTTACAAGCAGTACAAAAAAATATACAAGAAAATTATTTTCAATACAAGGAATAAGGAGACAAATGTAGCTTGTTAAAAGATAGTTCTTGCAGGACAGAATAAGACCGAGATTCATTGAATGCTTTACTAGATAAAAGTCATGCATTTATGCCTGACTTGATCGGTTACATAAACAGTCCAGCTTATGAGTACAATCTTTACTGTCACATTCGTGGTTAAAACTGTTTGTACCGGCTAAAGAGCAAGGGGGCTTAGAGGGCCTAACTCCCTTTGTTGATCCCCAAATGCAACCCTATTTAATTCCTTCCATTGTTAATTGAGAATTTTTTTGATAGGGATGATTCGAAAGGGATGTAGCTTGGTCCAAACCAATCAACAAAATAAAAGCTTTGCTAAAACCAATCAAATGACAAGCATTTTAGTTTCGCAGCAGTTTTGAAGATCGAGCATTTATTTGCCATCTATATAGAATGACCACCTGTGCCTTTAAGTGCAAACGTCTTACACACCGATTCCCTTTACTGTTTCATACAGGACAATTATCTATAGTTTCATTATCCATAGATTTTCAAGCATGTTCAGATATATCTTAGGTAAAAAATCACGGATTTTATATTTTGTTAAAAGCCAGTATAACTGGTATGATGTATGCCTGGATCGACTTTATACTGTAAAATTGCTATGATATGCTGAAAGTACCTCAAAAAAGAGGTATGGAGGTATGGTCGAAACATGTAAATTTTCAAAGGAAATTTTGTGCACGTGATAAAACAGTATTGCTAAGAAATGATCCTCGATATCAAGTAGCTTTACAATATGATAAAGAAATGCGCCATTTCATCTAAAGCTAATTCCAACTTCTTTAAAATTACATATGTCGTTATAAAGAATTGCGTACAAATCAATTGTTCCTTGATTTGTAGTGAAGGTGGGAAAATAGATGGAGTTTACGCAGAGATTGATACGCATGAATGGTTAAATGGTAAACCAATGTTATCAAAATACTGTAATGAAAAGGTTGATATTTAAATTCTGAAGTTATTATCCTAGGATAAAGCAAACATAGTAATTAAATTACAAACAAATTCGTTATGGTGGTTAATGTCGTATAAGTCATTTCTATTCTTAAATTACAAGACACGAATTTGGTCACATTCAGATATAAGCAATTAGTTCAGAGAATAGCTTAATAAGGTTCTTCTTACAGACAATTCTCGCTGTGAGTGGAAACAAGCTTTGTGGAGGTTGTCGATGGCGAAGTTTAAGCATAAAATACAATAGCAATTTGCTTTCTGTTCTTAAGTCTCTTAAGATCGAGAGATTTGACGACACTAAATATCTCTTTTTGAAGTTACTGATCATCAAAGCGTGTAATTGATCTGCTAAGCGTGTTGCCAAGGAGGCTCTTTCGAATAATAATTAATTTTATGCGATAAGTTACCTACAGTGTTTTATACAATCTTCATCAAGCGAAGATTTGCTTAGAAAAATTTGCCCGTAAATTAAGGTAATTGACAAGGCTTAGCTTTACTGACGTCATGATAGTTTAAAATGTGCGCATGTTGAGAAGTGAGTTTTGTAGTTGTCGTGACCATAGTCCTTGCAGGCTCCAAAATATTCGTTTCTAATGTCATGCTTAAACGTGCTATCTAGGAAATCTGATTGGCTCTTCACCAGAAAGATGGTAGAGTAAAGAACTTATTGATTTTGAATTTTCCAAAAAGGTCTTACTGTAAAGGACGCTAGGCATGATCCAAAGTTACGTTTGATACTGTATAATACTGTATAAGTGCTAAAATTTTCAAATTGAGACTTGTAAAGATGTAAAGAGTGGTATATTCAACGTATGCAGTTTGCGAAACGCTTTTGTTGCAAATACTATTTTCCAATGCCTTAAACACTGCATTTCTTCCTAAACTACAATCCTTACAAATATTTTATGTTATCCTGTGGTAAGAAATATATTTTATTATCAAGGACTTAAGTAGCATAAGTAAAATACTTTTATTTTGTAAAACATGATTTTGTTACATTTATTTATCAGGGCTATAATCCCCCCCCCCCCCAAACAAAAAGTTGTTTCTCAGTCTTTGTATGCTATCGTGTGATCGTCCTTCCTCCTGACAATACCCTTATACCTAGCACTCTCCTAAAACCCTCATCAAAAGGACAAGGGGAAAGGGCGAGGTTTGGGCGTGGTACTTAAGTTTCTTCCACGCGGTCGCTGACTGTATGACCGCGATGTTTTTTGGGCTCTGGGCCTGTCTAACATGAAGTATCTATAACAGTTTCAATTTCTTTTATTTTGCTACTTGTTTAACCTCTTTATTAGCACTCTGTCCTTCCCTTGTCCCAAAGCTCTTCTGGCATCTTTGAAACCAGGCCCTTTTAGCTCCTAGAGCCAGGCGCGGTTACTATTGACTACCAAAGAAAATTTTCCGAAGGACCACACCCTCTACACCCCTTGGTATATCCGTCCTAGCTTAGAACGCGATTGTAGGTTGCATCTTTTGGACAGTTTACGGTGCAAGTATTACGAGTGAGAGAAAAAAGACGTACGTGGAGATCAGAATTATGTGCAGATCCAGGAAATGAGAGAAAACTACATGCCCAGCAGGGAGTTGGCCTGGTTGACATCTAGATTGACGAGCTATTACTTTAGGATTCCAAGAAAAGTTTTGATTAATGACCTTTGTAATTCCAAACAGTAAGAAAAACCACATCTTACATTGACCTGAAAAACCACGCAGTAGTCCTAATCAAAACACAGTTAGGAATAAAGAATTATCTTTCAGGAATTTTCGTATTATCTTATTGCTGTAGGGAGCTGAAGAATTGGCTGATACAATAAGCTTTCATAGATTTTGCTATGACGTTTAAAAACAAGCCTTGGCTTATCTTGCCTCCAAATGCTTTATTTCGGTGAAGCATAGATCTTTAAAGCATGAAGGATCAACAAAAGCCATGATTTATAACACTGGATTTGATAAATTCAACTTGCTTTGAGTGACATTGAAATTGGAATCAATAATTTGTTTTGAATGTCATCAAGCATGCTAGTTTTTATCAAAAGTTGACTTGACATTACGTTTATGGACATCTAGGCTCTGACTACTTGTTAACAGTGGTGGCGCCAGAGGGGGGGCAGGGGGGGCTACAGCCCCCCCGTCGGAGGAGGCTAGCCCCTCCGTCGGAAGATAAATTATGCTTGAATTTTTTTTGTCGGAGCGAATTTTTTAAGTTTTGGCGGAAATAGAAATTTCTAAAAGGACTGTTATCAGAATTCAGGAAGCTCATCCCAAAACAACTCATCGACACATCAATTTCATGGTAAATAATAATCTGTTATAAGAAGTTTGAATTGGTTGTTTAGATGTTCAGTACCAGGTGTTTTCCGCATGCTGTTAAATTTGATCTTATGTTATGGATAGTGCAGTTCGTCCAAATCTTGCTTGCTATAACCAACCTACAACATCGGAATATTTTTGTGCGATAGCGATATGGCAACAAATGTTACCCGTTTCAGTGTTAGATGTAGTATATGTAATGACGTATTTAACAATGATTACGCTGCCCGCCACACGAAGTCCAAGCACAAAGATTTGGCTGCAATGGGAAGGACTGCTCCTACGACGGCAATAGTTGAAACGGACTCGCAGCAGAGAAAAATAAAAAAATTTTTTCAATCAAAAGGCGGTACTTTTCCAAAGAAACGAAAGGTTAATGATTTTGAAACTGAAAGAACAACAGAAGACCCCGAAGAACAAGAAGTTGAAATTTCGAAAATTCAAGACGAAGAGCAAATCGAACGTGGTATGTTATACGTTTTAATATTTAAGTCCTTTTAATACGAGGAAAAACACTTAGCAAAGGGCTTCAGCCATAAAAACAATCAAACTCATTTACGTAGTAGCTAAGCCATTTTACCCCATCCCAACCATACATATTTGTAGTGTTTTGCTTCTACGTACACGTTTTTTTATTTATAAGAAACTTGACTCAAGCCCAGAGTACTAATAGTTTCCAAATTTCTTATTTTTTACTATTTTTAAGGGAAACCATCTATTACTATTTACGATAAATCCTTCTAGTTTTTTTTATAAACAAGTTCCTTATTAAGAAAAAAACGTGTATTTTTATAGGAAACCTAGCTCTCCAGAAATTAAAAGTTTCTTATTTTCGGACCTATATAATATGGGATTTCACTGCGACTGCGACATATTTAAACAAATATACCTGGCTATGACTGGATGAGGAATAAACCTTGTTAGACGTATAAATTTCTTCGTTTTATTTACAAATAAAAATAATTTTTTGGATGATTTTGATATTAAGAGTCACAAAAGATTGATTAGTAAAAATGCCTTTTTGTCCATCTCCCAGGAGATATTATAATCTTTTTCACACATGTAAAACAGGGTAGTAAATCATTTGTTTAAACTTCCAGGTACAACTTCTAGCTTGGACCCCGAAGTCACGAATGTAGATGCTGACAACTACGTCACCATTTCGGAAGCCGAACAGTCGATGTCGGACATTGTGGAAGCAGCAAATGAAAGCGACAGCAACGAGGATATCGAGGAAAATTTGGAACAGTTGGAACTCGAGTTGGAAGATGAAGTTGATCCTGCAGGATTATCAGCCGAAGGTATACTAACTAGCTATCAGATATAATCGTAACTCTCCATTAACCAGCGGCGTAGGGGGGTACTAAAAAGTGGAAGGGCGCGTGAAAAAAGGGCACCTTGGTATGTAATTAAGACGAAGGCAAACCCTGCTAGAAGGGCACGGGGGCATGCTCGCCCGGAAAAGTTTTGCATATAAGCAGCCACTTTGGCTCCCATAGCCTCTTTCGCACTAAAGCTCAAAGAAAAGTCTAAAACAATGAAAAGAGGCACTTCTCAGATATAAAATAGGGCACTGCCAAGAACTTAACAGGAAAAAAGTTTGCAAAGTGTGATGGATAATTTTTTTCGTTTTAGCACTTCAAGGAGATTCGAGAGGACCGCAACTTACACTATCCGTCGCTGGCCCCAAGGACATATCCTCAACCAAAGACGGCGGACCTGTGCAGCCTCGTAATATTTCCTTCCCTACACATTTGATTGGCAATCAGCATCGCGCATTCACACCTTTGCTGTATGAAAAGTATCCCTGGATTGAGTATTCGCAAATGGAGGATGCCATCTTCTGTTTCCACTGTCGTAATTTTTCAGAGAATCGGAAGGATCCAGCGTTTGTTAGTCAAGGCTTGCGCAATTGGAAAAGATGCTATGGCACCAAAGTGAATGATAACAAACTCTTGCAACATCAAACCAGCCATCTTCATGCCCAAAGTGTAGCTGCTAAAGCGCACTATGAAAACGTTAAGTCTGGAAATTTTCAGACCATTGCCACACTTCATGATGCCGCTTATTCGAAACTGGTTAAAGACAACAGGCATTACATGCGAGTGATTTGCGAAGTCCTGCTTCTCACTGCTCAGCGGAAGATTGCCCAACGTGAGACTGGAGGTTCATTTCGTGTTGCCGATATAAATAAAGAAGCTCTAGACTATGGACCTTCTTGTGGTAATTTTCTTGCGATACTTGGTCTTCTTGCAAGGCATGACCCAGTTGTTGCTGACAAAATCCGCACTGGCCCGAAAAATGCAAAGTATACTCACCACAGCGTACAGAATGCCATCTTAGACATTATGAAAGACATGGTTCTTGAGCAAATAAAAAGTGAGCTCAATAAGGCTCAGTATTTTACCGTCCTTTCAGATGAGTCTAAAGATAGAAGCAAAAAAGAGCAGCTTGTTGTTGCAGTCCGTTACTGCTACGAGAATGCCATACATGAGGAATTTATTGGCATTGCTGAGGCGCAAAGTTTAGATGCAGATGGTCTTTCAGACACAATAATTGAACGATTGCAACGCATCGAAGCCAACATGAAAGCATGCGTGGGGCAAGGCTACGATGGAGCTTCTGTTGTTTCTGGTCACCTGAATGGCGTTCAAAGGAAACTTCCTCTGAAAACCGGTGCTGAAATGGCTTACTACGTCCATTGCTTTTGTCATCGATTGAACCTTGTGATCGTCGATGTTGTGAAATCAATCAGTTGTGTGGCAGACATGATATCGCTATTCAGAAGCCTGCATTCTTTTCTGAGCAGCAGCACCGTTCATGTACGATGGGTAAAGGTCCAAGAGGATCACAAGGTTCATGTGATGGAAATTGGAAAAGTTTCTGACACGAGATGGTCTTGCCAGGCGAAGCAATTCAATGTTTTCTGGGAGCGGTTGGATATCTTGGTGGAAGTCCTGCAGGATGTGATTGACACAGATACGAACCCCGGTCGCAGAACAGAAGCTACTGGTTATCTTCTGCAGATTGACAGGAAATTTGTGAGATACCTGTTTGCCATCCGACACGTCTTGAACAAAGCCAAATTTGCGTCTGACATGTTGCAGAAACCCTCCAATGATTTGAGTCAAGCCATTGATCTCATTGCAACATTGAAAGATGAACTGGATGACTGTCAAAGCAGGGATAAGATTCAAGAGTTCTGGGATACTGCCGAAGAAGCAGCGGATCGCTTGGAATTGCCGGAAGAAAAAAGACCACCAAGAAAGAGGGCAACGCCTGCTTCTCTTCGAGAGTTTGTTGTGGAAGCATCTTCAGAGCCTCAAGTAGCAAGCGGGTTTGATGGCTACGTACAAAATGTCAAAGAAATACTAAACAGAACAACTGCAGAACTTTGCAAGCGGTTTGACGAAAAAAACATAAAGATCATGAAAGGCATAACTGCATTGGCCCCCAAGTCGAAAAGCTACTTGGACCCAACAACTCTTGTCAATTTTGCTGAGCTTTTTCAGTCTGAAATTGGTGCACTACGCAGTGAAATTGCCACATTTAAATATATGCTCTCAAGAAAAGAAGAAAAACACCGCCCAAGCACACTTCTGCAACTAGAGGCACACTTGGAAAAGCTAAATGAAGCTTTCTTTGAGCTGCACCGGCTTGTATCCATCGCATGCACTTTGCCAGTCTCTTCAGCCGAATGTGAACGCAGCTTCAGCTCTATGCGCCTCATCAAGAGTGATCTGCGCTCACTTATGAAGGACGAGCGTCTAGACAGTCTGATGATGCTAGGTATTCATCGTGCCCGTGGAAGTGCTCTTGACTTGGACTCAGTAGTAGACAGATTTAAGGCTAAGTTCCCGAAGAGTAGAATTGCTCTGTGAAACAATTTTGATTCTTGGACTTGAATTTTCGATATGTAGAAGTGCGTATTCCACCGCTTAGGTCTGTTCCTATAAAGTTACGTTGTGTTCCAGTTTTCCTTAAGTTCAGTTGGTTGCTTTTTATTTAAATTCATACTTTCCAAAGATAGGCCCTACTTGAATTGGCAACGTTTGATGAGTTGTAAAGATTTAGAGTAGTTTTAAGCTTATCTAGAGGCAGCTTTCAAAAAAAATTTCCAGGGACGCCGGAGAAGGGGGGCGCGGGGGGCAAGCGCCCCTCCTGCCCTTTGCTAGGAGGGGCAAGGGAGGGGGCAAACGTGCCCTTAGTAATATGTCAAAAAACGTAGTAAAAAACACGATTACACCATTTTGATAGCATTTTTAGCCAATCTAATGGGTGTAGCCACCAAAATTTTCCCGGGGGAGTACCCCCGGACCCCCCGAATTTTCGGCTCGCAACGCTCGCCTTCGGTCTCCAGTACCCTTACAATTCCTTGTCGCCCCCTAGCCCTATCGTTCTCTAAAAAAATTAGCCCCTCCGTCGGAAGTGCTAGCCCCTTTGTCGGAGGAAACCTAGCGCCACCACTGCTTGTTAAAGGTAAAAGAATTGGCAAATGGACCTCCTCTTCTAGGATGATCCTTCACAAAAGGCGTTCTCAAATGCAACCCTATCCCTTTAATTCCACGATGTTTGATAATCTTGATAATTTCATGACAAATCACTTTAATTTCATGTGTTCTGGACACTACTGCTATAAACGTACCGCTAACAGAGACTAATTCAAAATCAGTACGAGGTACTTTCATGTCACTAGCCTCAGGTCTACCAAAAGCAAAGAAGATTGAAGATTGAAAATTATCAAGAAAGAGACCAAATAAGAGAAAGAACTATAAGTGAAAATAGTTTGAGCAAACAATAATCAAAGAATCATTAACATAGCAATTAAATAGGTGATTGAGAAGTTCCTCTACAATACGTTTTTAGATAGTTCAGAACCTCTAGTTCAAAATTTAGGAGAGTGAAAGCTTGGTAGAGCGGTGCACAAATATCTGTCCCAGCCAGTAAAACAGTAAAATTGAAATGCTGATTTCCATATTCCAATCAAAATGTTTTTAGAATACGTGAATACCCAATTATGTTATACATGCTGTGAACTTTTTATTGATGACCAAATAATTGAACTTTTGTGCTAATGAAACGGTTACTATACTTTAGATACATTTCTTGGCACAAGCAGGCAATCTTTAATCATTTAACAGTGCCAGTTTCTGGTCCTTCAAATATTTTTTGTAATTAAAGAACATAAAACTTTGATTTTGATTATAATTAAAAGTCCAGGTACCAATTAAATTAAATATTCATAATTTCATGTTTCAAAGTAAACACTTTTTCAAAGACATAATTTCCCAACTTTAAAGTTAAATTTCAATTTTCAGTAAAATGGCAGATCAGATTGACGATGTCCCTACAGAGAAGAAAACACAAGGCTTGAATGTTAGCCGAACAATTATTTACACATCGGATAGACTCGGTTTTAAATATCAAACCTATACTTGAAAACTGTACTTGAAATTAATTGGATCAAGATACCATATCAGTAGGATTATACCATTATAGGACCTTTACTTAAATTATAAATTTTTACAGTTGATTTTGTTTTGATAAAACGGTTTATTGAACAAATAAATGATCATTTACCTTGTCATTTCTTCCTCTCTTTCTCTTCTTTTTTCTTCGTCCACATTCTGTCAGAGTAAGCAGTACGTTTAATGCAACGAGCATCAGCAAAAGCGATTTAAGATCCATGATTTCTTGTCTTCTTTTTCACTGAACGTAGCGTTGGTCTTGATAAGACGAGAAATGAAAGGTCAAATGACTTAATCTTTCAATAATACACTTTTATTCTTGTTTACTACAACAAAATAATTAATTAAGAGAAGTCTCTAGGTTTCCGAAGCTTTCAGTCTTTGTTTTAAAGATTTTCTCAAGCTGGAGAATTGGCTTAGCCGAGTAACAAAAACAAACTCACGTCAAAAATGTTGTCAACTTGCATTTGTAAATGACCTTTTGTTAAAATTAACCTTCTTGTTATGGATTTGTTCGGGAAATGATCTAAAGCCTACTTGCTTTAGACGACAAACATTAACTAAGGCAATTGGGCCACATTTCCCAAAACAAAACTGTCGCTTTTCTATTGTGCACCATATTTGAAGAGCGTGCATAATACTGGGAAAATTTGATAAATACTGGGGTGTAAGAAATGTTTTCGTAGGATCTTTTTGATCGGTCAGTCCTTGTAGTTCAGCTTTAGGCCTTTCAGCGATTTTGACTTATTATTATGGGGCTCATACCAGGCTAGTGACATAAGAATTCATTATAGCTGAAAATATAATATCAAAACTATCGTCAAAGTTTGTCAATATTTTAGTTTTGGTAATTTCGAGTGTTGTATAAATTTGATAAAGAACACAGATAGAACAATTTTTAAAGGAAGGAAATGAAACACGAAAGCCTGATTGTATGTAGCTAAGCCTAACACCAGAACTATCAACTAAATTTTTATAAAGGCCAGCAGCTTTTTTAGAAAATGAAAGAATGAAAGCAGCAACTCAGGGCAAAAATGGGTACGAAAGATGACAAAAGGGTACAAAAAGGGTACAAATGGTGAAAAGAGGGGACAAAAAGGGAACAAAGAAGAATTCTAACTTATTTACAAGTGCCAAGGGTCTAAGAAGCCCCGATGCTCTAGCTTTCCCTAGTGCCAATTGGCATCAACGTAAATGCTGGAAATGCTGCAGAGATTATAAAGTACAAAAAGGTCAAGCGGTTGGACTTACGTATTTTTCAAAAACATCAAAATAAAGTTTTAAAAATATTTTCAAAAAAAGTAAAATATTTATGAGGCGAGTTGTTAAATCTTAATAAATTTCAACAATTCTTTTGCAGTTCTGCTCTACAGACAAAATAACGTGCACAATCGGTCTACATTAATTCAATTTCGAAGCCAAATTAGGCTTGCTTGTGATCCCAACAAATTGATTACTTATCGAGCTGTTTTCACAAACACGCAAAAATATGTAAACGAAGCAGTGATCTTATTAATGGAGCTGATTCAAGCATGCGACCAAATTTTCAGATATGTTTGTCATTTTTAATCATTTCAACGCTTTGGTTTATTGATAGACCATCGTTCTAGTACATGGATCTGACAAAGGAAGTACGTTTTATGCATGCATTTTTTTTAAAAAAAACACGAAATTAATATTGTCTCGAAAGCAGCACTAAGGAAAAAGCTTTATTTCTACTTTCAAATTTGTAATAGTACGCAAAAGCTCCCTTGACATTACACGAATTAAACAAACTCTAAAGACCGACTATGTGCATTGCGTAGTATATAAGAGTGAAAATTATCCAATTAAAAAAGCCGTATCTCTTCTGACAGTGAGAAATCAAAATGAGGTTTCATTAACGTAGCCATGTCTGTCTATCTTCAAAATGGATTTGGAAGAGAGTGTTTTTGGTGAGTTGTTAGATTATATATTTTGGCCCACAATCAATCCATGTGTAATCGAAAGACTGTTTTTTAAAACCAAGGCTAGAGAAGTATTATGTGTTGTTGCTTGTGGCGATTTCAATTGAGTTGAATTGTGATGCAATTCATCTCAAACCACCGTGCTGTATATCCCTTTTGCAGACAAACAAAGGATTCCCAGATGGTTATTCTAAATCACTGGATTATTGGATATTTGGTTTAACTGTTTCTCTTCTTGCATAAAGTGACATTTACAATCCTTTGCTTTGATGCATGTCGATTCTTCCCACGAGTTTAATCTGAAATTTTATCCACGATAATCCTACAAATCTACGCAAGCCACTCAAACATGCTCCGTCCATTCATAGCTATGATATTTCACAACATGGCCTATCTCATAACCTAATCACTTTATAGGATGGCAGGGTGGTCTGTATATTGTAATTACAATTGCACGCCCTGATTAAGTCATTTGATTAGCCAAAGCTCAATCTTTAGCTGAAGTTACTGTCTTTTTAAACTTAAAATATGAAGTGTGGAATCCAATTCATTTGGCCGTTATCAATAACTTGTTCATTCTGGCTAAAGCAAAACACTAAAACTTTCATGTTGTTCTCTCTCAATATGTTTAGCAACGTACGAAACAGTTTGGAAATATTGATCGCAATTGTAGGCTTGTTGCCATTTTACTAGCCTGTAATGTCTTTATCGATTAATCAAGTGATCAAGAAAAAGTGAAATAAGGCAACTATTTGAAGGCAATCTGTCACGACGTTTATTGATTAAAAGAACAAAAGGATTTTTTATTGTTCCAGTCCCCTTTTTATTTATCGCATTGTAAAAAATATGGCGTAGCGCTGGAATTGTGTTTAGGCTATTGTTCCAGCTATTGTTCTCGTTAACCAATCCACAACGAGACAGATTGCCTTTAAGTGGCATTGGCTTGAGATTGCCTATTACGATATTATTGAACGTCTTTTAAGATTCGATGAAAGGAAAGCCAGTTTGTTTAAAAAGTGCTTAAACCCAACTCCCTACCCATGAGAAAATGCCAAGTACCAGTCTGTGCAGTGAACTTCAAAGGTACCGATATCTCGTGGTGATTTTGTGTGCTTGCTACTGACAAAAGTGAATTTCGATGTCACTTCAAAATAACGATTTTTAATCATGTTCAGAATTTTTGCTCCTCGTTCCTTTGCTTTGGTGACACAGGCCATTGACCCCTTTGCCATAAAATAACTAACGATGAAAAATTATAACACAGCTCAAAAATTTTCCTCAAATGCAAAACGAATAAATGATTGAAATTCTTATTTCTTTAAATTTTTCGTTTCTTTTGAAGTCACTTTCGAGTTCTTTTCGATTCGGAATCGAAGTCAACAATATTATCTTTTGATGTCGCGTGAAGTTTATAATCTTCATACATTTTGACATCTACGCCATGAATACTGTCTAAAGGTTTCTGAAAAGTCAAATCACGCATTTCCATTCTATCTGGTTTTCATATAAAAGCTATCCATCTTTTCTTTTCAATTGCTAAATCATTCATGAATTGGCAGTTTCTTTACAATTGCGGTGTTAAACGTAATCGATTAATCTTCATACGATCTTCCCGCAATGTCCTTTCTAATAACTGCAACAAAACCAACTACTGATATTGTACGTGTTTGAGCAGAAAAAGCAATCAACTACACAAGCAGGCGTATATCAATAGTGGAGTCGGAGGGGGTTGGGGTTTAGGCCTAAGCTCCCTCGCTAAATATGTCCTACCAATTTCAATTCTTGCTTATGTCTTTAAGTTATTTTTATCAAGATCTATTTGTTCTTTTTGTAGCGTTTCTTTACCGGTTAGAAATTCGTCAGAGGATTGCTTTAACTCGCAAAATTGACAGAAATACAATTGATGGGACTGACACATCAAAGACGCGAGAAAATAATAATTTCTCGGTTGCAAGTTATGTCAATACTTTTAAGTCTATCATTCAGGCCTTGTGATAAACGCCTGAATTCACTCATGTTTATCGGTACAAAATGGCTCTTACAGAAAATAACGGGGGTTATGCATCCAAATTAAGGTTTAGTACCAATGAATTGTGGATAAAACGTGAAAGTATTTCTTGAGGCGTCGGCGGAATATCGTTCAATTAATTTCATCCAACTGGCATTTACTGCAAAGGTCCACGCTTTGAAAATGGCGTCAAAGTAATGGCTGAGTGGCCGGCCCGGTTTTCGGCGTTTTGTACAACTTATTGCAAGGTAGATTAACACAGACATTTTAAGGAAAAGACCCATTAATGCATACAACTTTTTATAGGATAATCGAGGACTTATATAGAAAGGCCGGTAAAAGATTACATCGAGAAAACACTAATATTTCCGCCATAATTCATTGAGCCAGTGCAGAGATCTTTCTTCTCGAAATTATGTGTCATTGCTACTTGACATAAAGTTTTTATTATCTAGTGCGGAAATCGTTAATTAGGAAAATTCCCTGAATATGACGATTATATGCAGTTAATTACTTATTTCAGTTAACTTATGCAAAATCCAAGCCACAACTCATATAAGATTTAGAGATTACAGTAACTGGCCTAATCGCACCGCAAAATTGCTTTGCTTGTGAGTTGTCTCGAAGAATGATGATCCATGCATGACGCGAGCAATTAAAAAGCCTTCACAGGGGCAATATTACCAACGCAGTTCAAGAAATTTTGGCGCGAAAAGTCATGGCCTGCATCGGAGGCCAAAGAGAAGAAGCCTAGAAAGGAGGCCAAGACCTAGAAATTTTAACGCCAGGAAATCTTCCGGACAGGGGTGTCACTTCATACTTCTTCTCTTTGGCCTTGAAGCTATATTATTGTTAAAGAATGATAAATAACGTTGTTTTTTGTTCTAAGACATCACATTTTTGCTTTGACAACTTTTTGATAATTTGCTTTAGAACACTGTCAGGTCGTTGTTCTCCTAGGAAAAACTTTTCTTAGGCCTATAGAAAAGAAATGTGCTTCAGGTATAAAAGACACAGCTACGCTAGATGTAAAATTACTACAAACAAACAAACATCAAGATTGGGATATCGAAGCTTTGCCACGATGCCATAAGAATCATTGTGGGAAAATCACCCCGCTGCATACTTTAACCATACATCAAACAAATTCTGATATTTATTCTTAAATATGATGAGGGGATATCGGATCAATGTAATAATTCAGCAATTCAACAAAGTCACAGTCATAACTTCTCAGGGACACTGGAACGACCAAGGTCAAGGGGGTGGGCTTGAGTAGAAGGGCATTTGGAAAAATTAATTTCCAGCTACCGACAATTCTTTCATAATTGTCATTTTGTTTCGATCTTTTGTCGGTATCTTAAAAATTGGCTATAATAAGAAATTTTCGTAAAATTTCGTCATAAATAAGGCATCACAGTCATGATTTGATGATATTGATAAGGCATCTCATGGATTTCCTACAAAAGGCCGGCATCAAGGGTACTTTAGCCCCTTTTTGCCCCCTCCTATCTAAAGGCAACTGGGGCGGTTGAACCCCCGCCCCCTATCTGGCGTCTTTGAAACTTCTTAAACCAAACAAAACAGGTAAAAAGGATCTTGCAACGTCCATGGGCCACTTTCCCCCTAATAAAACTATCAGACAATCATTGCACCATCCACACTGAGGTTATTGCAGAGGACAAAGAATTACAAAATAAATTGTCGCAAATCCCTATTCTAGTCCTACAAAGGCAAAATGATCTTGAAGATTGGCTAATCCACAACTAATTTTGTGGCATACACTTTATTGCAACCCATCTCACTTGCCACACCCCTGCAGCACATATTTCAATATATCCAACTCAAATGTAATATATGCAAGCACATATTTTAATATATCCAACACACGCGATATATGTGTAGAATTGTATTATTTTCTATGTAAAGAATTTTATATACCTCTACAGCCATACTTTACCAATAAAATCGTACAAACATACAATTGTTCAAGTTTCAATTCAGTTGTATTACAAACAACGCTTCAATTCATTGATACACTTTTGCTGCCATTATCCCTGGATGCAGTGATGAAGGGGAGCCCAGTTGTAAAGGAGCATACCGATCATAAGCCCCAAAATGGTTTACCTGGTAAATATTCAAATTTCAAAACCCATGCATGTTTATGGGCCTATATATGAAGTTATAGATATAAGATAGTAAAGTATGACTGTTCTGACACATGCTTCAGATATTTGGACACACTACTTTAACAACAAACTAGATTCCAGATCTCTCCCGGCACAAGGCAGTGTTGCAATGTCCGGCTGGTATTGCATCAACTTTCTCTTAGTTTTCTAACAAGCTGTGCTTGTATTTTTTTATGGTTTTAAAAGAAGCACAAATATCAACCGCACCTAAATCTGAAGTGAAAGAAAATCAAAATCAATTTAGAAAACTATTCCCTCCAGACCAAACTATCACTGACAATCCATATTTCGTGTCACTGGTAGTCTTAATCCATACCCCCTTAAGCGAAGTCCCTGCTTCCAGATCATAGCTTGTTGGGTAAAAGGTACTTCACGTGGTGCATTGTAATAACGGCCTTTAAAGTCTTCTAAATACTTTCTTATAATAATTCCTTTTATTTCAGTTTCTTTTGCTTATCATTGCTATTTGCTATCAATCTTGTCACGTTCATCTGTAAACTTTAAGACAATTTCCTCTAATCCTAGTAAATACGGTAACACTAACTAAAAATACGAGAACTCTTCTTGAAAATATGGTAACAATAATAAGCAACGCGTTAGCTATACCCGAAATCACAGTAACACTACATGAAAGCATGGTAATGTAGCCAGAAAAATTGATAATGGTACAAGAAATTGATTTAAATTCTATAGTAAAAACACAGAATTGCAGCAACCAAAAAATTGTACCTGAAAACCATGTATCTATATCTGAAAAGACTAGATTCTACCGTAATACTTATTGAAGCAATGGACCTCCACTAGTAGCTACCCACCGTAAGGTGAGCCAAAATCATTATCTGTCTTAATCATTTACTCTTAAAAAACATTTTTAACACCATAATTGAATTTTGAAGGTTGAAGCACCAAAAAAAACTATTTAATCTTCAGCAACTTTGATAGCAGCAATCTGACTGCTTTCTCTGATTATATTGCACTCTTCATTTATTTTATTTTAATATTTAAAAATTACTTTAATATATAAAACTATTCATTTATTTGCTTTGACAAGAACAGTGGTGAGTAGTGGCTCGTGCTATTAGGCATTAGGGGCAATGCCCCAACATGAAGTTCCAAAGAATCATTGTTCCCGACGAAACTCTAACGAATTTCCGAAAAGTCCCAAAAGTTGGTGATTCCCGATTTGCTTCAACAAAAATCACAACAATATGTATTTGAACACATCGTGGACTACACCAAGCAAAGTCCGTTGCCAATAACTTTACAATCACAGTCTTCCTCTAACTAAACACAGTCAAAAACTAGCCGTGGCTAGGCAAGAACCTACCTTTTCGACGTACAGCTGCTTCAAAACAAGGAAAACCGCTTGCTCAACTATTTAACTGCCCCATCCTGTCCTGTGTACTTTTTCACCAGGCCTACATTAGTATCCACCCCTTTTAAAACACAAAGCAACTCAATCGCTAATTTCAGCAACTTATTTACCACCCTGCTTTTTTCTTACTTATCTGCATAATCACTATTAGTTGCTTTTTAATCTCACATAATTCACTGTTTTAAAGATTTAAGAACTTAATTTAATGTTTAATCCAGTACAACAGAAATTATGGTATCCTGATAATTGAATGATGGATTAAACCGTAATTAATTTTGTAATCGTTTTAACATTAAAATATGAATTTGATTTTAGTCATTATATGATTAAACGTGATAAACAACAAATATCAGTTTAATAATAATTGTTTACTTTTTATCAAAAGACTACTCAGCAACAAAACATTATCATGTGTGATAACGTTGGTCGAATTCTGAAAACCTTGTGCTTGAGCATATGATAAAAATGCTGTAAGCATAAAGGGAGGGGGGGGGGTGATCCGATGCAATGTAAATTGACTTGAAAATACAAGAAGTTTTAAAGAAATAAACACGCTCGATGTGTGGAACAAGAAGATTGTAAGTTTTAACTTATATATATATATATATATATAAGCACTTGATAGAGACTTGGTCGTGGAATACAAAAATTCAAAATAATTAGCTAAGAAAAGCTAAGTGCATCTTTATAAAAGTAAATTTGTTAGTTTATCACTATTGCAAGCAAAGTAGCTTGTAACAAAATAAAAGCTGAAAATAATCTGAAAAGATCTAACCTGGAAAATTTGGCTGGCTCAATCCAGTAGCACGGCACACGGACTGCTGTTCTTTAAAAATCTGTTTTGAGCTGCAAGAGATGAAGCATTGCGCATTTGAAAGCCACGTAAGCTTCTTAAAGTCGTCAAATTCAACTCTTAATAATTACTGAGAAATTAATCTAATATCTTAACTACCATTTTGAAATTAGTCGTCTAGGTGATCTGAAACCAGAGGGACAAAAGAATTGCTTGCATGAAGAGAGGGGGTAAAATATTTGTTGAAAGCCTGCAATACTATAAAGAAACCACTTAAAAATAGTTTTAACCGATGATTATGAAAATCTTTAGAAAAGTTTCAAGGAGTAAACTTAAATATTAGTTACTGAGTGGAAGGCACTGAGTTTTTGACTTATCATCTCCAAAGCAATATCATAGATACCAAATGATAAAGATACAATATTCCCCGTTCTCTGCTCATTTTTTCTGTCATAAAATTGTCCCAGTTATGAGCTCTAATTCAGCCCTCAATAAGCTCTTTTCCTTTTATTTTTCCATAGTTTTTTATGATGAGACAGCTTCAAGCCAAATATCTCATTGATGACGGGGCAGGGCAGAATAATGAACACAATTTTATTAAAAATATGGTATCATAGAAAGATTGGGTAAAGTTGGATAGTTAGACCATGTGCTTTAAAAAGTACTGGAAATAAAGCAGTGGCGGGAAAATTTTGGAACCAGAAAGAAGAGAAATTATCATTTACCAAAATTGTGTGTGACACAACTGAAGAAGCATTTGAAAGTGGTACAAGCACGTGAGTATGGCTTTAAAGTCAATCCGTTATCAGGACTAAAAAACACAATGTTAAGTGAGAAGCAGGTTCACAGAAGCAGGTTATTTTTGGTTGATATAAACTTCCTAACAGATAATTTTATGCTCTTTCTATTACTTACTAGCTATTATTAGAGTGTAGTACCCTGGGTAGAAGAGCCTCATAAATCCGGGGAAAAAATTTTCTAGACAGCTGCGGTGACAAAGGATGAGTCTCAAAAAGTTTTCTTCGACTAGTTTCTAGGTATATTTCTGAGAATAATCAATGAAGACTTGGGTGCCCAGGGAAAGAGCATGGATCCTCTGACAAATCTTCCAATTTATATAAAATAAAACTATTACCAGCTAGTTTGTTTGCATAGCCATTACAGATTTCATCAATTTGCTGCAATAAAACATGGTATGGGCTAGATGCATTGAGTATAAACTTGTCCCTTCTAAGCCGGTAGCAAAGATCAAATTTCGGATACGGAGCAATGTCTCTCACGTTAAATTCCAGTTAAATTCAATGTAAATGTAATCAGGAACATCGAAAGGGGGTTGGAGGGGCAAATGTTTTGGGACGCGTTCTCCGATGGGGCCCTTACACTATCTTATTATCAGATTTTTACAAGACCTATTCACAAAGGAGAAAACTTACTCTTTCAGCTATTTAAATGGAATCAATGCCTGTAAACTTATCACAGTTAACCGATGTCCAGTTGTCCTTGATTCATGAGTACTATGCTTTTGCAAAGCGTTTTTAGGAATCCACAAAAAAATTTTCAATGGTAACAAGGGCGTTTCCTAAGTTTTCTAAGATACTGGAGGGTGTGGTCACAAAAATTTTCTTAGAGAGGCATGGGGAGCCTTAGAGGGCCCAGTTTTGTTAATCACACCTTGGCCCGAGCTTGCTCTCGACAACCATGAATAAAATACCTAGCGGGTTTAACTTTATATTTTGTTTTAAATAAGATTACATCTAAAAATATATTGTATGATAGTGGGGATACTGAAGAATCAAGACAACAAAGCAAAATCGATAGATAATGTCTTGGTAGTTAAAAAAATTAAAAAATTTGTCGAAAAACTTCAAGCATTGATGGCTGGTATTAAAGGTAAAACTATCTTATTTATTTTTTGCAAAAACTTTCACTAAAATGTTTTTATCATAAATTTTTGATAAAACATGACCTATTTTAATGCAAATTCTTCAAATTAGCTTTGGGCAGATGATGTCCCTTAACTAAACTGTATCCGTGTAACCGCGACTGAGTTGGAAATATGAACGTATAAAATCTGATAAAAGTCATCTCTACATACATCCATATAAACATACATGGACAAGTAGTCTTCAGCTCCAAGGCTTACAGTTCTGAACCAAGATGTTTTTAATAAACTATCACGTTTCAAAGTTAAGAGTATAAAGCAATTCTTTATTGGTAACAAGTTTTTCGTAAAACTCCAAATTCTTGTGATGCAAATTTTAGGCCATCCAATTAACAGCCCTATTCAGTTTGAAAACTGTCATGGATATTTGTAGTCTTTAAATGAGAATTTTAAAATTGTAAGTAATTGTAAGAGTTCTAGGCTGGCCTAATCAACCAGCTTACTAGTATAAGTGGGAGTAAAATTCATGTATTCTATGTCATAGCTGGAAAGATTTCCACCTGGATATTGAATGAAAAAAATATCCTTGTACATCTAGTCTAGATGATATGTTCTTTTATTAAATTGAACTTTCTAATACATTCCTGATGATTTCCAGATTGATAATGATTAACTTTATTTCAAATTATCAGCAGGAAAGCATGAATAGATAAAGAGCAAATACATTATCACGGGTACGATAATATTGACGACCTTACCAGGCGTAACTGAAGACTCAAGAAGAAACACGAGGACTCTTTATGGACGACCTAGCAGCATTCTTAGTCGACCGTTAAGTATCACAAATGGTTGTTTTTTGCTGGGATGCATAAATAGGTATATTGTGGTCTAGCTTCTGTAATTAATTCAACGTGAAACGCCCACGATAAAACAGTTTGTTGCTTTATTTCCAGACATTGTTAATGGCATTTTGTGGATATTATCAACTTCCCTATTAGCTAAAATTGATCTTTAATTCTTTAATCACCGTTTGATTCAATTGTTTTCTGTTTTATAACTTTCTTGTCCAGACGCATGTCTTTATTTCAGTGAATTTTTCATAGCTGAGCAATGTAAGAATTTTCTTGGTATGTAATGACCTTCGTTTTTGACAAAGTTAGATGTAGTTACGAAGTCTGTTGCTCAGTTACCTTTATAATTTTGCGGATTTTACTGAAGGGTGCGGATTTTAACTACCGACATTTCATTGGGGGATTGAAGGGGTGACGTGTTCATGAATTCCTAGAAGGAGACTTTATTGCTTACAAAGGATTAAGGAAGCTTGTTATAGGCACTACGTCATTGGTGCGAGGATGGCTCAGTTGTTAGAGGCGCTGACTACAGACCCAAGGGTCTGTGGTTCGAGTCCTGACATCACCAAACTTTCACCCAGAATGGGGAGAGTCGCCAGCTCTTTGTAATTCCAGGCGTAGGAATCACGAGGTGTGGTCACATCGAGAGAAAGGACCAGGACACTGCTTGATAACCATAGCATCTTAGTGTCCTAAAAAACTACCTTCGGATGCTAGGTAGCAACAAATACAAAATACAAAATACAATACAAATACGTCGCGCAGGCTAACTACGTCTCATCAGTTAACCGTTCAGAGTTAACAATAGGCTTTGCAGCTCGTTTATGCCCAGGTAAACATTGAAAATTAGCCGATTGGATACGTAACAATTAGTCTATTGTGTAGTCCAACCAATGGGAAAATTATATGGCCAGTGAAAGTCTCATGTGAACGGTCACAAGAGCAGCCAGAATGATGTCAGAAAACGGTCATAGACTTTGATGAAAGCCAATTTAAACGCAAGACCCTTCAGTCAAAAATCCACACCCTTTTGTCAGTGCGTTTGTGAAAAGATGTAAGAGCATCAAAATATTACTCTGAAGAAAGATATACAATTTGTTTGATTCTATGATAATTGTACTTTATTGTAAATAACATTCGACAATAATTGGTTGGTTGACGCCCCTTCGACAAGCACATTGAACGAAAAAGCTTCGCATATATAATTTACTTTGAACAGAGGCAAGAAACAATACTATACACTGTAGTTTGTGAATTTTAAGAATTTTATCCATTTAGTCCTCGAAGAGTTTATTTTCTAATTTTAGAAACAGAAGTCGTAATACTTCTAAGAAATTTTGAGAGCACGCCCACTTTTGTCAGAAATGAATGAACAAAATTTTAGATGAGATTCAATGGAAAAACGAATAGTGAAAAGTCTCGTTTTAAAATAATGTGATCTGTGCTTCTACGGGAGTATTTCAAAATATTTTCAAGGTGGGTGTGATTCAATACAACAGTACCAAAACTGGTTTCTGGATAACTTTTATAAAATTTACAAAGTAATCGGTTGTAGTTCTAAACTTTTTTGTCGCTTTTCGAGAAATCGTTTACACTGCTTCCTTTATAATCTTTATAACTCATTCTTTCTCCTTCGCCCCAATTATACTTATTACTTTAACGGTTGAAAGAAGTACAATGAAAATCTTCTTTCACTCATTCACGTCAAATTCCTTATTTTGCCTACGCCTGCATATCCTTCCTTTTCCCTTTGTCATCATGCAGCTCATCTTTTAATTACTATATCTCTTATGATTCTGCTCTTGATCAGATCACGGTGGTTACTCAATCACCTGTAATCACAATTTAATCACCCAATCTTTCTTTCAATTGATTCTACCTAATACTCTTGACTAATCCACCGCTGCTTCAATTTCATTTAGTTGCTTGGTGCATTGTCCAGTTAGTAATTCCGTTACCTATACAAGTTTTGTTGAAATAAAGGCATGATTGTTGGCCATCAGGCTAGGCCTCAGCATGACAAAGTGCTTGACACTCAAAATAGCATAAAATTGGATTAAATGAAAATTAAAACGGTTATGGAAATTATTGTTGCATTAAATTCTTTATTTGATTCATAACTTACCTTACTTAGGGAGATAAGTAGTAAAAACCACATAAATAGAAAAAAGCACATTTTGTCGAAATCAATGACACATAAAGATAAGTTACAGCGTGATAGACTAAACCCCAGCATTATAAGTGCATTCTGCGTGGTGCAAAAGCATCTGACAAGTTAGGCAGCGCATGCCTGCTTTTTAACCCTTTTCTTCAATTGCCTCTACTATTACCTCACTATATCGCGAACAACTTTTCTGCCTTTATGAAACAAGCTATGAGAACTCCTTCTCGCTGGAATTGACAGCCATATTGAACCATATCGCTACATATGTCACCTACAATCTTGAACACAACACATAAAACAAGATGCAGTTTATATTTCTAACTTGCTTTATTAGTTGATGAATTTTAGGGACAGACCCATGAGGTGTAGTAAGATGTAATATTATTTGATTATTTTAAGCTGTTGCAGTTATTGATTGTTGCAGTTTTAAAAATATATGTCCTATCTCGCTTTATTTCTTCTTATGACACAACCCTGACTGACTTACTGTAACATGTGTTATTTTTCATCTAACGGTTCTTCGCAGATGTTACCTTCTACGTGGTGGCTTCCATTTACAATTACCAAATTTATTAAATTTAACACTGACTTTAAGGCTAACTATTGTAGACTTTCCCAAAGTCTATTTTATCCTTGATGCGTTTGTACTACAGCGAGGGCAAATCTATCTCCTTCGCAGTTTAGATTTGCCCTCGCTGTAGTAAGAATGCCATACGGATTCCGAAAATAGACTTTGGGAAATTGTAAACTCATTGAAGAGTGATTGAAGATAAGATAATGTAAAATTCAAATCGTTCAGGCAAGCCATAAAATATATTCCAGCAATGAGTCCTACCAATTAATCCCATTTAATTAGGAGAATAGATGAGCTGGGTGCATGACTGTTAGATAAAGTAAATGTTTTGAACGGAAATGTTCAATCCATGCTTAAGGAAGGTTTTGCAAACATGACAGCAAAATGCCACGACAGATCCATTAAATCATAGCCAGTTAAGTAGGGTAAGCATTGTTAGTGAAGAGGAGGGAGAACGCTGAATTGAAGAAGTTTCTGAATTCACTGAGTGTAACTCATTGGGCAAATTATCAGATTCTGAAAGTCTTTCTGGATTGAAAATTGTATGCATTTCTCAAGCCAAATGATCCTCCATCAGATTGGTTATTCGGCAAAATTGAAGGAATACTTCTTGTAGCCTTCCAAAGTGAGCTTTTAGAGAGAAAAGCGGGAAAAAGCCTTACATGCCTTGGAAGTGCAGGAACTGAAACTTTTTAATGATTGCTACACATCTAGACTTTAATATGGATCACCAAGCACAATCTGCTTGTTTCAAGATGGTGTTTCCGTAAAATGCTTCGTGAAGCATTAATTTGAACAAGCTAAATTAAAGGTAGTTTTGTGTAAACCAATCACATCACAGAATTTATTCACGCTTTACATCGGCAGGCTTAAACACAGTGCATACAAATGCCTTCAACAAAATAGTTATTTTCGAGCTTGGTAATAGAGCGTTCTTCATTGCATGCTTGTCCTTACCACATTTTTTACGTGTACTGTTTTTACTTCCGGAAAATTAATTGTAATCTGGATTCATAAACCAGCTTATTTTATATATGCTTATTTCCGTTTGTTTTTAGTCATGCGCTTTTATGCCTGATTATGTGTAATCTCGTACTAGAGGTTTCCTTGTGTTTGTTGATGTAATAAATTGATATGGAAGCCAGGTCCGATTACAGAATTATAGAAATTTTTTGTCTTTTCAAAACCCGTGGCTCACATCTATAAAAAATATGTATGCAACGGAAATTCAAAAAAGTTCAATAAGAATTTTGTACCTATACTTACAGAATTTTGTACCATAAAGTACAAAGTTTTTCTTTGAAAAGTAGAATAAGCATAAACTGTTGGACAGACGCACGGAGAACCGTGCTAACTCTGATAGTTCATGATATGATGAAATGACAACACGATACTTTGCCAGTTTTTATAAGATGAAACGCATATTTCTACAAGAACTGTATATTCGTGATAAATTTCAGAAGCATAAAGGTGTACAGGGGGCGCAGAAACAGAGACATAGGGCGGAGGGGCAGAAAATTTCCATTAACAGAGTTATAAGTATAAGTAGTTTGTTTTATATACATGTGCTCCCTAATTTTTAAACGCTTTCCTTATCTTATTAGCAATTTTTAGCGACCTATTTTAGTCCAGCACACTTCGGTTTAAGGACATCATTTAGTTTTTGCGAACCTTATAGCTTAAATTGTCACGGATCACTGCAGATGGTTTCGAATGGTTTTAAGATAGAGTAAAGTTTTAATCCTGTCAAACTATAGCTTTATCTACAACTTAATATATCACTTGCAGGAACAAAGTACTTTGAAGCCACCCGCTTAGCAAGGGAACCAAAAGAAGGGCAGGCACCTATCCACAATCGTGAGAAATTGATGTCCTAGAAAATCACAAGTTTATAAAAAACCAATGACATATTGCCATGCTTAAATAGGGATGCTTTTAGTTAGACTTGTTCCGCTACCTATTGGTCCTCGTTTTACACCTTCGTCACGCTTCCGTTTGAAGCAATGCCAATAATCATGGATTGGAAGAGTTATTATCGAAAGTCAATTATTCAGAAAATTGCTTATTAGATGCATACATTAATCTAAGAAAGTTAACTGGCAATTAACACAATGCATTTAAAGGCTCTTGCGCAACCGGCACGCTTTGCGACTTAATTAAAAAGACCGGCCTAATATTGTACTGCATGAAGATACGAAACACAGTCAATTTCTGAAGACAACTGCCGCTACGCATGCCGGTTGCGCAATAGCGTTTAACGCTTCTAGTCGTAAAACTTTTTCACTTGACTACGCCCTTATCAAGGCCTATAGCAAACAATATGCCATCAAATATCTCACTATGTTTTTGACATGAAGAAATATTGGTACGCTGGCAGACACTTTGATATCCTTATGAGATAATGCAACGCTTTTTCTGCATTTATTGAAACATTGTAGGCTATTGTAGCCACATGTTAATCTTCAATTATGATGTTTTGCAAGAGAAACTATTTCAATGTCTAGCTGAGCAATTTCTTATATATGTCGAGTAAAGCTTAACGTTAGCTGATACTGATAGTCATATTTCGAAATTCAGCCGAATTATTAAAGATAGTTATCTACTGTCCTGTATTGAAATGCCAATTAAAAGGCCAGAAATGCTACTTAAATCAATCCAAATGAGTGTAGCTTGTAAAATGGTTTATCAGAATTTTGCAAATTCAATGATATTGTTCTGGGAAAAGTTTTAATACTTTTTGATATTGCAAATTTTTGATATTAATCGAACGAGATATCAAATCGAATAACAGTGTAATTTCAGTATTGTCATATATACTGGAACTGTCATAAAAATCTAAAGCCATTCCTAAACCTAAATTGAGACTTTTTTCTTTGTTAGCAGTTTTTGAACTATTTGTAGCAAGTTTTTCTTGAAAATTATGTTTTGTTGTAAATTTATGTGCAAATTCTGCTCTACTTCAATTGTTTTCACGTTTATTTTGTTATCTTCTGAACATCAGACTTTTACAACAAGCATTTTTGAAAAGATAAAAGTAGAAGGAAAGATATTCAAAAAAAATCTGGTAAATGAATAACAGATTTCTTAACATTTAATAAGTAGCCGATATCACACCAAGAGCTACCTTTTCTATTGGAATTTGATAATTGCTATCAAGAACATCAAGTAATTCGAAAAAAAGATACACAAAGCTTATATACAGCATTCAAACATAACGGTCACTGCCAGCCTTGGTTATTGTTAGGTTGGCTATCCTTTCTGCAGTTTTCTAGCTTCAAATTTTTTTGTATTCAACCGGACAAGAGATTCAGGCTTCATAATTTGCGATCAAAATTTTTTCGATAAGCCTGATTTTAGCAGTCCTAGCAAACACTTCATCGAAAAAGTCATATTTCAGAGGCCCGTATAAATTTTCTCTCTCTCTCTATTAAAGTCACGTTCCAGGCCATATGGGACTCTGCCTGCAAAGTGCAATTCGTGGATAGAAGCTGAGGTATTTGAGAAAGAAGGCTTAAACACAATAGTAAAATTTGTCATACTTATTGGGTATCTGAAAGCGTTTAATTTGTGAGCGTTGACCTGTGCGGTTTTACACGGCTACGACTTAATGTGACAATTCTTTCAATGATTCGCGCTTTGGGTTGTGCTCAAGACCATTCCACAAAAGTACACCGATCGTCAATAATCGTTTCCAAATCGATCAAATATTGCTATTTTGCTTCACCTATTCCATAACAAGTTTCCCTCAGCAAAATATCAAGGAAAAACGCATCCGTAAGGAATTCATATAGCATGCGTGCGGTTGTATGTAAATTCCCTGTGACTAATTCATAGCTCCTTCCACCCTCTCTTAATAAGAAATTTTACCATATCAAAAAATGTGATCTTGCTTACCTTTACTTTGAGTATAGTTTGCAAATGGATGATCCTTGTAGTTGAAAGGTCATGCAGATTAGAAAACGTTGGAGAATTCTTGAGTATCCCGATTAACAACAGTGCAATTCTATTGCATATGTGATTCACTATAGTGGCATGAAACGACGTGTTCTACAACCAATCAGATACACACTGGTTGCTCCGTTACAAACAAACCGGCTCTATTGCTTTATAACTCGTTCCAGTTCCATGCGAATGTGCTGGCTTCTGCTTTTCTACCGTCACTAATATTGCCTAGTCAGTGATGCAGTTAATTGATGTGGAATTCGAGTGATCGGTTAGTCATTAAAGGTCTTTTAGAAATATATTAGCCAATATGAGTTTATAAAGGATTGGACACATCAAAAGTTCTTGCAAAATTCTAAAGGCGTTGCGAGTATGAAAAATGGAAGGGACTGAGTTTAAGACCTGCAATTAAAGCTTATAATGTATATTATTTTCATATAAATCTGTGTAGAGAAAAAAAGATTGGGATATTTATCGGAATATCTTGATGTCTTTGTTATAGGAAGATTAGCGTCGACAAACAATATTAAAAATAACCAACCAAGAGATGATAACGGATAAAGAAATAGCTAATAATTTGATATAGAAAACGCTAGTTTTAAGATACAGGATCCCCTTTATTCCGGTTTAATTTAACTCAATAGCTAACGTGAATATTGCAATACTGATTTTAGAACCATGCATAAATTGGTTTCATATAAACACTGTGATATGATATACCCTTCTGAATCAAAAGACCTCAACATTTCATTATTCTTTCAAACTTGATGAATATCAAACGGATACTTAACGGAAGAACCTTTTTCGGTGACAAAATTGTCTTAAGATACAATTTGTATACTTAAATTTCAGGTTGAAGGGAACGGATTTTAAAGTAAGTTTCTGACATAATGTCAAATTTCTGGAAGAAAGAATGCTGCTTATATTTTCCTTTGAGCTGCATTTAGCGAGGCTTATTCAGGGACGCCGGAGAACACTTTTGAGCGGTGGGGATGGGCCTAGTCAAGCTGGCAACATCTTATGGTAGTTGCTACCGTTATGTCCAAAAGCGACTATAATGCAATTTTTATCACAAAATGAATTGCCAGTCGTTGTCCTTTAAATGCAATGAATTAAAACATTTGTTAATTCAAAATATGAAAAGCGTTTGAAAATAATCGTTATTGAATTCATGTTTACATAGACACTGTAAAGAATTGAGACTGGAAAAAATTTCCTTGAATGCGGAGGGTGTTACCAGAAGGAGCAGAATAAACCAATAGGGAACATTAACACATAACTGACATGGAACAAGGAGTTAATTGCTACAGCAAATATATTACAGTTACCATAGCTCCTAAACTTTATTGCCCCATCAGTTGGCCATGAAAATGAAAATTGTGTAGAACAATTGTTTGTCTATTAAAACACCAGAACTTTTTATAAATGTACTTGTCTTTGACATACCAAACAAAATTGCTTTCTCTTGACGACTTAAAAGTCGTATTTCAATGTTGAGATCATTTATGCTTAGTCAATAATTAATTGATAATGCTAATAAAATGTTTTTAATGTTTCAATATCTCAGGTAAAGAAGACAAAAGCTAATATAGGATCATGGGGGCTTGCAGGTAAAAAAATTGAGACTTTGCTTTGTGAACTGAAATAGCATGCATTCGATGCAGGAAATGAATACCAAACACTAAGGCCGGATTTGTCTTCTCTAATGTGTGATAAATACATACCGAAAACCCTCGAACTAGCCCCCTGTAGGCTTATTTATTTTTACATTTTTGGATGGGGGCTTACCAGAAGGGGGCAGGGGCTTATACGAGGGCGGGGGGGGGCTTGTTAAATTATTGTAGACTTTAAGAAGACATTATTAAAATACCTCGTTTATTATAGTAGGAATTTCTCTATGAGCATTTAATCAATTACTACAAAATTGTTGTGGTAATTCCATAAAATGCCATAGGCAATCTCAGATGGCAAAAATCATCAAATAGAGGGGTCCAATTAGAGAATTGACGTCAGCAGTGGGGACTCATTCTAGGGTGCGGCTTATTTGAGGGGAGAGGTTTCTCGAGGGGGAGGGGGATATGGCGGGCGGTCTAATTCGAGGATTTACGGTATGTGAATTTTTCACCAACTCAACAGCTATTTGAGGGTATTGCAGTCACGATCTTTCCTTCATTCGAACCCATGTGTACACTGCATTCCATTTGTCTAGCTTGTTACCGCTAAAGCAATGTCTATTTTCTATTTAAATTGCATAAACAATATTTGCGGGCAGGCTCCAAATCTTCCTCAGCCACAATAGACTCAAGGAACTTGGGTATACTGTCCAAAATTGTCCACAAAGTAGCAACATTTCCGAAATTTTCCGTCGAACTTTGTGTACTGGGGAGGGAGAGGGGTTCTAGCCAAGCAACTGCATCCTTGTTAAAACATATTTCTTGTACTGTTTTCTCATTACAAGGAACCTTATAAGGACCAGTCTGCCACTGATGAACAAGCATGTACAGTTAAATCTGATCTAAAAGGAATTTTATCCCCGATAAAACAACAATCGACTTAGCCTGCGATCAGCCCTGTCTTTTCTATTTATTCTTTAAGCAAACAGCCTGGTAACCTATAATTAAAGAGTTAGCCAAAAATAGACACCAAGACGACATAGACTGATCAGTCAGTTGGTTGATTGAAACTTCAACCGGAATATAACAAGTAAAATTAAATAAGAAACCTCACTTAAGATTTGAAATTCGTTTCTGGACAACGCAGGATTATTGATTTTCTTTCTACAAGATTACCTGAGATCCAGATTCCTTTAAAATTCTTGGTATGCGCTATTTCATGAGAATCTTTTGATATTAAGAAAATATCATATATTGCCAGGGGCACTGGTGTATAATAAAACTAAAGTGGGAAAACCTAAATATCAAAGTTTTCGTTTTAGAACTTAAGCTAATATATTATGGTGATGCTAATACATAAATGTATCATATTATGCGTTGGTATAGATAAAGGGGTTCAGAGGGACGGAAAATCCGCCTGTAAAGCTAAATTGCTATTTTTTCGGAAACCTTCTGAATTCGGAAAGGCACCGTCTTTGTCTACTTTTCATCTAATTGTTACTCATAAGAGTAAAGATTTAAAGCGTAATCAAACGACTTGTTCCACTGTTTTGGATCATATTGGCAATCTCTTTCTATAGGGTATGATTTTTGACAATTCAGTTTAAATAATGTTTAAGATCTATCTTCTGTTTAATTTCAGTTCTAATGTAGTTATGTTACATTCCAATTTATGGAAGCATAGAAATGCTTTTATGCACTTTTCCTCCATCCCAATTATTTTATTTATCATTTAACAAAACAACCCTGAAGTTGCCCAGGGAATTTTTATGGTTTAGAAATTTGATACAATACGCTTTTAAGGGAGCGCCACAAGCTGAAGCATTTCTTTAATTTATGAATTGCCAAACCATACAAAATTAGCCCCTAATACTATTTGATATCGAATAAGATTTTCGATTTACAAACAAACTGTAACCCAGACAAAATCTTAAAATGATTTAGCTTAAACAAAAACTATATCACTATTAAAAGCATGCCATTATGTTTGACACTATTGTTTTTAAAGTTCCAAAGTTTTCTAGTGCAAAATACAGTATTACTTGTTCTTAGATAATCGTTGCATCTATTTGCTGTTGTTTTGGCATATATATTCGATAAAGTAAATACTACTCTAAATATTCTAGAGCAAATGAGTTTTCACTAGATAAATTAGCTAAGATAAATGGAAACATTAATTTTCCATGATAAAAGCAGAGGTGTATCGCAAGGATGTATTGATGGAAAATTTCAAACTTCACATAAATAAAATTTCCCACATGATTTCACCAGAAATGACTTCTTCGTCATTTTCCAATAGGGAATAGCTAAGATATAAGGAAAGCCGTGCCACTTTTAAAAGTTCGTTAATGATGTTTGTTGTCCTTTTGAGGTCAACCTAGCATTCATTTTCTTGATTTAAGGTACTTGATATAGTGACGTCATCAGACAATCACAATTAAATGCAGCATGTTCGTTTGATACTGAAAGACCAAGAAAACCTTTACTTCTTGCACAAGGCTAATTGCACTGGGCTGGGCTGTGAACTTGTAAGAGAAATTAAGTGATGATATAAAGACAATGTTCCTACGCTCATATTAAGACAATAACAGAAAGGCCTTTGCGGAAATCTTCTAGGCATTGCATTAATTATATTTTCATAAGCAATCATGAAAAGGATCACAAAGAAAGTAATATAATCAAATCTCTGAATGATAGCCTATTTAATTCTTATATTTTTTGCTTCCAAAAACGCTATCTCCATAGTCAATAGAAAATGAAAGCTAAAATGCTCATACAAGGAGAATGGTGTTATAAACTTTCCGCTAAGTTAGTGGTCAAACTGCAATATCAAAGCCATGATTTCCAATTAGAATTATTTGCTTTTTAGTGCAAGGATAATGAAAATGGTAGACAATTGACAAAAGGTCCTTGTTCGTTGAAAGATGATAAGACGACTTCAAATATGCTGTGATCATTACAATATATATATTGTTATTTTCCTTGCACTTTCCTTATGGATGGAAATATCATTCGATATTATTGTTATTAGCCCATGGCTTGCAGATTAATGTTAACTGTATCAAGCCATATTGAATAATGTAATGAAAGAAGAGAGTTCGAAAAGGGCCTAACTATCGCTAAACTGAATCTCGCTTAGATTGTGTTGAAGATCAAAGCAAATTTGAAAATTTCACTTTTAAGACATCGAAAGTATTATCTTATATTATTGCTAGCAGAAGTTAGTTGATATCAGACTGACAAAGATTTTATCGACCAAGAACCTAAATATTGGTAATTTTTGTGTATTTGCTGACCTCCTTATCCAGAATACTCATGAAAAATTCTAAGCAGGTCTGAATATTAGCAATATTGCTTATGTGAGAGTGGTTCCAAAAGGTTCCAGCTTGAATGAGATGAAAGCACCCAACCATTGCTCTTCAAATGATAAAAATACTTAGACAGAAGTATAGAAATGCTTAGAAATATATTTTGCATGATGCTTTTCTAGTCATAATTTAACATCCAGTGGCTAATTTCTTGAAGAAAGTGCTATTAAGTACTTCAACAAAAGATTGCGTTATATAAAGATCAAAAGTGAGTGTTGATTT